TCCGTGTCATCCAGTTCTCTCGCGTGTACGTGTCGGATCCGTATGTCCTGGTGTCGGCCAAGCCAGGGATTCTGCCGCCCATCTTCGCCATTGTGCGGCCGTTCACAGGCGAGTGACGGGCTGAGGGTGGTGGTGATGGTGTTGTTTTATTGTTGTTATTATCATCATTACTTTTATTATTCCTATTTATCATTGTTATTTTCATTATCATTACTTTTATTATTCCTATTTATCATTATTTTTATTATCTTTACTTTTATTATTCATTGTTTATTTATTATCATTGTTATTTTTATTCCATTAATTTTATTATTCATTTATCATTTATTTTTATCATATTATCATTAATTTTTTATTCCTATTTATCATTGTTATTTCATTACATTACTTATTGTTACTATTATTATTGTAGATTTATCATTACAACACTATTAATTATTATTATTATGTTTATCGTTATTATCATTATCATTATTATCATTACAACTACTATTAATGTTATTACTATTGTTTATCGTTATTATCATTATTCATTACTATCATCATATATCATTATTAATCATAATCATCCTCACCATAATCATTATCATTATCCTCATCATATCATTATCATTATCATCATAATTATCATTATTATCCTTATCATAATCATTATCATTATTATCATTATCATCCTTATTATTATTATTATTATCATCATCATCAATATTATTGCTGTTATTTTCATTACTATCATTGTTATTATGGTTATTATTATTATTATTATTATGATGATTACCATTATTATTATCATTATCATAATCATCGTCATTACATTATCATTATCATTATCATCATTACATTATTATTATCATTATCATTATCATCATCATTACATTATCATTATTATTATCATTATTATCATCATCATCATTGCATTTTCATTATCATTATTGTTTTTATCAATACTATTACTTTTATCATCATTATCAATATAAACATTATTAGCCTTTTTATTCAATTTGTTATTATACTTAAAGGTTATTCTCATTCTCATTACTAGTTGGCAACTCAGCCACTTGTTTTCCTTAGCTTACTATAAATATTTGAAACTAATTTACTAATCTATTTACAGTGTTAAAAATATATATTCCTATTGCATGATCTGAAATAAAGATAGACAAGTAGATATCAATAATTTGTAATTTCCTGACGGGATAAGATAGCTATGTTGCCAACTAGAGATATAATATTATACACCCATTCATTCATTTATTTTTAAGTAATGATTTGTCTTTTTTATTCCGATCATTAATAGAAAGATAAAACATTATTTACCTATTCATCAATTTCTTTTCAGTAGTAATTTTTAGTCATAATAGAAAAAATTAACATCCTTTTCCTATCCATTCATCTATTTTTAGTAGTCATTTAGTAGTCATAATAGAAAGATTTAACATTTTCCTATTCATTCAATTATTTTCAGTAGTCATTCATTTTTATATATCTTTTATTGCGACCATTAATACTCGTAGAAAGATATAACATTATTTACCTAATCATTCATTCATTTATTTCTTAGTAGTCATTTATTTTTGTTGCGATCATTAATAGAAAGATTATTTACCCATTCATTCATTTATCGTAGTCATTTGTAGTATTATTGCGATCACAACAACCATAATTAACATAAACCTAACGAGCATTATTCACAGCTGATGTCTGGTCCTCCGTCGCTGGGTGTACACTGCTCACGGGCGTTGTGTTGTGGGTGTTGATGTGGGCGTGGAGGCGTGTGTTTGGCGGGCGTGGATTTAAGCTGAGTGACGCCCTTATGTATCCGTGCAGTCTCCTGCTGGAGGACCCGCCCTATGAACCGCCCTCCGCTTCTTCGGCCAGGGTGGGCTGTGTGTGTGTGTGTTGTGTGTGTGTGTGTGTGTGTGTGTGTGTGTGTGTGTGTGTGTGTGTGTGTGTGTGTGTGTGTGTGTGTGTGTGTGTGTGTGTGTGTGTGTGTGTGTGTGTGTGTGTTGTGTGTGTGTGTGTGTGTGTGTGTGTTAGGAGGGGGAATGGTTGTGAGGAGTGTAGGTGGGGGAGAGGGGAGGATAGTCTAAGTGTGTGTGTGCATCAAAGTTTATATATGCATGCACATGTAGATATGTTCATATTTGCGTTTGCATGTAAACACAATTGATCTTTCTCATTGTTCTTTCACTATTAATCAATATTTGTTTATCACACCTGTCTTTATCATCTACATTCTTATACGTATCCTTTCCAATTTTTTATTTGTCGATGTATCTTTGCACCGCATATATCTTGACATGTAAACTCATTTATTACTTTCCTCTCATAAAATATCTTCTCACTCCCTGATCGTAGCAAAACACCGAAACAAAATTCTAAGGTAATATCACCGTGTTTTTGGAATCAAAGAGATGAATCAAGTTTATTGTGCACAGAAAGCAGTTTTGTCTGATCTGAATTGCCTTAGCATGATATTATTTAAAACATTTAACATTTAAACATTTAAACATTTAAAGCAGTCTTTAGCACAGATCACATAAACAAATAGTAATACTTTGATGGTAGTAGCCATGGTGATAATCTAATGGTAATAATAATGATGATATTGATAATGATGATTACAATGGTATTGATGACGATGGTGAATATAATGATAACAATATGAATTATAATAATCATAATAACAATAATGATAATAATGATATCAATAATGATAATAATAATGATAATAATAATGATAATAATAATAAAGATAATAATTATTATAATAGTAATGATGATAATTATAATAATAATGTTATCATTATCATTATTCTTACTGTTATTATTACCATCTTCGTTATCATAATAATAATAATAATAATAATAATAATAATAATAATAATAATAATAATAATAATATAATAATAATAATAATAATAATAATAATAATAATAATAATATATAATATAATAATAATATAATATAATAATAATAATAATAATAATAATAATAATAATAATAATAACAATAATGATAATAATAGTAATAATAATAATAGAATAATAATAATAATAATAATAATGATAATAATAATAATAATAATGATAATAATACACAATAATATCATAATAATAATAATAATAATAATAATAATAATAATAATAATAATAATAATAATAATAATAATAATAATATAATAATAATATAATAATGTTAATGATAAGAGTAAAAGTCATAGTGATAATAATAATGATATAAATAATAATAATAATGATAATAATAATAATAATAATAATAATAATAATAATAATAATAATAATAATAATAATAATAATAAATATAATAATATAATAATAATAATAATAATAATAATAATAATAATAATAATAATAATAATAATAATAATAATAATAATAATAATAATAATAATATAATAATAATGGTAATGATAATGTATAATGATAATAAATAATAACAATAATCATGACAATAACAACAACAATAATAATAATAATAATAATAATAATAATAATGATAATAATGATAAAAAAACAACAACAACAACAACAACAACAATAATAATAATAAAATACTATTACTACTGCTACTACTACTACTACTACTAATAATAATAATAACAATAACATCAATAATGCTTATATGAATCATATCAATACAAGAAAAATGAAAACAATAATAACAACAACAACAAGGAGCCTAACTCTAAGACCCGACATGTAAACTCAAAACAGACGAACCCGACATGTAAACAAACCAAACCTCACGGAATCCACCACGACAGGTTTTGCTCGGATGGTGGCTGGTGGCGTGTGTGGTCATCGGAACAGCCTACAGGTCATCTCTGGTCGCTTTCCTGACCGTGGAGGGCAAGACGCCTCCTATCAACAGCTTCGATGACCTGGTTAAGCGGCCAGGGTGGCGGTGGGGCATGAAGCCAAGCACAGGGTCTTTCTTTGCTTATTTTAACAGCAGTAAGGACCCCACGACTCAGCTTGTTAATAAGGGGATGGAGGTGAGTGTGGGGGGAGGGAGGTGAGTTTGTCATGAGAGGGTGGCATGAGTGAAAGAAGGGGTGTCAAGAATGGAAGAGGGTGTCATGAAGGGGTGTCATGATTGGAGGAGGGTGTCATGAATGGGATAGTCATGAAGAGGTGTCATGGATGGAATAGTCATGAAGGGGTGTCATGGTTGGATGAGGGTGTCATGAATGGATGAAGGTGTCATGAATGGATGATGTCATGAATGGAATGGTCATGAAAGGGTGTCATGAATGGAAGAGAAGTGACATGAATGTAATTATCATGAATGGAGGAGGGTGCCATGAAGGAGTGTCATGATGAGCATATCGTGAAGAAATTACGAATAAAGAATGTGATATGATTTTCATGTGTTGTATGGTTATGTCTTTGCTACATAGCCTGGAGGTGGAAATGGGTCTTAAACAATCAATCAAATGTTTAATATGACCTGTCAGCTTTTCCTTTATTATAATAATTATTGATATTATCATTATTAGTATTGTTATTACTATTATCATTATTATTATTATCATTATTATTACTATTTTTCTCCAAAAATCATAAACTCTCATAAAATCCGCGACAAAAACCGAAGCAGACACAGACACGCACACGCGCACACACGGGAATTACACGCACACATGAATACGCGTGTACATCCAAACACGCACAGAAAGACGTTCTCTTCGTGAATGGCAGAGCGCGGAATCCATAGATCACCATAATATCCGCCTTCGTTATGATGACACAGGAAACGAACTCTCAAACACCATACATATCTACACATTTATCAACGGGAAGCAAAAAGAAAATAAACCATTACAAAAGGAACCAACTAACGTTATTCTGCTGACACGTTTCCTTAACAAAAATTCCTAAATTTTACTCTAAAAAAATCAAAGTAATGTAAACCAGGAAAAAAATAGTTACCCCTCCATCTAAAAATAACGTTTCTTCTTATCACTCCCCGCAAAA